CATATATTCTCATTATGGGACTGGCTAGAAACTGCTGCAAAGAAAAATAAGCAGATTCCTCTGCATTATTTACTTTTAATATTTGGTGGGTAAAGTTAGGAGAAATTAGTTATGAGTTTATGGATTTTTTTAAGATTATGGAATAAAGTTATTTTTAAATAAATGTTTCAGTGATTTTTGATTTAGAGCCGACTAGTAAATGTAAAGATTTGATTAAAACCAGTTTGCCAGACTAAAATAAAATTTTTTCCCGGCTGTCCTAATATTGGAAACGATATTGTTCCCGTCACTATTTTTATTCTTTTCCATGATTATACATACGGAATACATCAATATATACATTAGCTGGGTACTGTGGGGGCTCCAGAGGTTTAGGCAGGAGGGATCACAAGTTCAAGGCCAGCCTCGGCAACTGAGTGAGACCCTGTTTCAAAATAAAAGGGCTAGGGATGTGGCTCAATGGTAAACTGACCCTGGGTTAAATCCCTAGTCCCTACTACCCAGAAAAACAACAATAAAGCATTGCTGGGTAAAATCTGCAGGCCCCCAACTCAGAAAAACAAAAATCAACAGTTTTGCTTGCCTACCATTTTATACAGGGCCTTGGGTTCAGTCCCCAGCATCTCAAACAAACAAACCAAAAAAAAAAAAAAAAAATCCCATTAGGACCTGAAGACTCCGGACAAGTGAGGAATTTGGGAGACAAAGAATGAAGAAGAGAAAAATGGCAGAGGTTGGGGAGTGTAGGAAACTGACTGGAGCCATGTTTTTTTAAAAAGTGGGAGGGTTGGGCAAAGGAGACTGGAGAATAAAATTGGGATCTAAGGAGGCTAGGTGATAGAGAAAATAGGAACCCAGGTAGAGGAGACCAACACGGGGCTGAGGATAAAAGGGTAGGTTCAGGGTTGGGTGAAAAACGCCCAGCGAAAAGGGAAGGAGGAAAACGGGATCTGGCAAGGCTGAAGTGGGCAGCAAGAAACGGGCAGGCAGCCAAAGAACAAGGTGGATGTGAACAGAGCGGGGATCCAAAACCGAACTATAGGGTGGAACCAACCACAGGTGTCACTCGGGTGGCCTGAGAAGAAATGGGGCGAAGAGGTGATGCTCCTGAACCTGAAGGGTGAACCGGGCTGGGTTCACAAAATAGGCACCGGTAAAATAACCAAAAACATTAAAACACGAATTAAAAACACGGGAAACAGGGCTGGTTAAAAGGCAAATAAGTTTAAAGACCGGGCGAGAAGGAAAACAGGGAGTAATAGGAAGGAGGGAGACTGACCCAAGTTATCGCTGGAACAGCGGGGAAAACCTGGCGAAAGAGAACCCTGCAACCTTAAGTGGAGAGCACTTTGGAGACTAAAACTGGCTGGACGCAGTAAGAAACTCCAAGGCCATCAACGACTATTGGGGACAGGGCAACTTAGAAAAGCCATCTTTTCAGTTTCCTTTCCTCACTCCTCCCCGGGCTCCTTAAAGTTCCGAGGCGAGCCAACTGACCTCAAAGGGGCAGTGCCTAAGGCTAGGTAGAAAAAAGGCGGACGAGGTGACACTCTCGGGGGAGGGGGCTCAGTTCCACGCACCTGCTCTCCCCCCCTCCCGTACCACCCTCGGCCCACTGCTCAGCGACCACCCTATCTCCACTCCGGCCCCTCTTCCCCCACCAGGCCCGCGCCCCACTTCCGTCCTCCACGCCATTCCGCCTGGGTCCCGCGCCCCACTATCCCGTCGGCATTCCCCAGACCCCGCTCTCCAACTGCCTCTCGTCCCCCACCTCCCCGACGTCCCCGGCCTTTCTCTAGCTCTCATCGCCCCCTTTCCCTCCGACCCCCACCCCACGACGCAGGTTTTAGCTAGTTCGTGAGCCCTCCTGCCCAGTTTCTCCCGGTTCGCGACCCCGACACTCCCGCCCGCAGAGCGGATCACGCCCGCGTTCCTCCCAGGCCCACGCCGACCCCTCGCGGCCAGCTCGTTTTACGCGGTCTCGGCTCGGCCCCGCCCCCGGCCCGTCTCC